GTTTGAGCTTACAGTTACATGTTACATACGGTTTGTTTTTTAACATAACTTACATAAACTTCAGAGCGAAAACTTGATTGTTTCACTAACCTCTGAAGTAGAACATGTAAGCCAATAACACGAGGAAAGAAATCAATGAATACTGTCCTGATTCACTGAATGCAACGCGATGATTACAAAGAGACTTCTTTCAAAATGCTTAATCAACTGTACTGTTACAGAAGTGTGGTGACAGTTGATTTTATTACTTACTCATCATTGTGATGGATGTCTGCTGCTCTCTGTAGGAAAACTTGTTGTAGCCTTCCATTTCAATCCTGAAAAGAAAAGGACCTCCGTCACTTTAAGGGGATCAATCTTTAGTGAACAGTTCTTCTGTCTCACGTCTCCCAGCAGCTCTGTTCGACCCTGAAACTCCTTGATCATTTTCGACTCGTCTGGGTGATAAATGATCGATGAACCACCAGCGATGAACCACATCCCCAAGAACGCAGTGATCCGATTGTCTGTATCTGGGTAGTTGAACGAGCAGGGGATGAACACACAGGATCCGGGGAGACCTTTAACTGAGGATGGCACCTTAACTTTCCAAGATGGATCTACAGTTTGAGTAACTGTTGTAGAGGAAAAAGGGACAAAAAGTAAAAGGTTTGAAGCAGAGAAAAGAAGGACTTACATAAAAATGCAAATCTATTTGAAAATCATAATCTTGACCCAAGCAAAATTATATTAAGACATAAAGCTGACTTTTTAACTGCACATTCAATGAGCAGTAATATATGGTAGCTGGTTTTCCAGTGTTGAGAATATGCCACATACCTCTAAAGCAAAGGCACACGAAAAGCATCGGCCACTTGACAGAATCCATCTCGCCGTCTGCGGGTCAGAGCTGTGGATGAAGTGACACATATTTCTAAGCTTGTCACGTGACAAATTCACTTCCCTTAGTTTCTATTCCTCTTTTAATACAGCACACACTGCACTACAGACAATTGTCACACAACACCAGTGTGGTGACTACAATCCGGTAGAGTCACGTGAGGCTAAGTACGGGAGATTGGTG